CACATGAAGAGAGATTACTGCAGGAAAAGTGGACTTCCTTCCTCAATCTCCTGTCACTGTATGCATCAGCAGGCTGCCGATATATAACGCACGCCTGATCGCACAGGCTGATCTTATGAGGTATGCACAGCAGCACCAAGGAGCCGAGAAGAAGTCCATTTCTTCTTTGTTGCCTAACACGTTAATGCGCAGAACCTCACGCGTCATACTTTACACATCAATTGCGTCTGCACACACCCGGGTGAGATACATCCCCACCTCCTCCCTCGCACACACACACATAGAGGAAACTCCTTCGGTGTGGGTGTTTAAATCAAAACAAACGCTGATGAGTCATCTTTATGTGAGCCTCATCAATGTTCTGCTGCTGGAGCAGAGAGAGGTATAGGATATAGCTTAGCATGGTGGCTAGCTTTCTCAGGTTTTCTCGATAGGATTCTCTCGATAGCTTGCTGTCTTAAATGTGTTCATGACAGGAGTGGACTGATGAGGAAAAGGAGCTGACAGATGAAGCTTGTCATTTTACATTTTTCTCTAGGCAGTGGGGAAAAGATTATTCCTAAAACGGGCCCAATGTGTCCATTTGAAGGCTGTCTTTAAAATGTAAACTATCTCTGATGAATAAGGCTAAGCTAAATGCTAATGTCGCTATTTTAAAAGGTGGGAGAGGAAAGTATGAAGAAAACATCACTGACAAGTACATTTTAGTATTTGTACTAACACATTATCTGTAGCCTATTACCCGACCTCTACTCCACTTCATTTCCTAGACAAGTTTTGATTCCAGAACATTTGTCTCACAGCTTTAGTTGAAGTAAGTACAAAACAACATCATCTTTTATACATTTTAAATTCCCAGTGGTACAAAAAGTAGCTAAAATTAGCCTAGCGACTACCGGCTGAAGCTACTTAGCCATTAATGCATCATTAATATTTAACCGGTTTACATAAAAATACTCTGAAGCAGATTATAACTTTTTTGCTGATAAAAAGTATATTTTGGAAAATGCAGGACTTTTATTTAGAATTAAAATCAGAAATAAAAACGTAAATGACTGCGGGAGTATTTGTGTTACATTACAGTCGAAAATATATATAAGTAGAGAAGTTAGAGTACAAATGTGGGTATTATACTACGAGACATAATAACATAAATGCTGAAAATTGTGACAATAATTAAGTGTTTAAAATGCAAGAAAATATAATCTATAAGGTTATTATATGTTCAGTATGAATATATTAATGCCAGAGAGTAGCCTATTGCACATGTTATTGAAAGTTGCTTTTAATATTGCAGATATTGATTTTCTTTAACAGTGCCGAACTGATATTTTTTATACACTAATATAACAACCCCTAACTTTGACCAAAAACATGCCGAAATGTTTCTGAATTTTGATCAAGGTATAATACAGTATCCGAGTTGGATAGTGGATTCTGTATTGAGTGGCTGGTCAAATCTGAAAATGCACTAGCCATTTAGTCCCTGAATAAAAAGGTAATTTTGCATCCTGCTTACAAACTAAGCTTACAAAGAACATTTGCATTAGTTACATGTCGTGCTCTCAAGTTAGACAAATATCATTGTTATAATATTTTTAAACTTTGTTTGTTGTTGATATTTTTGACTTTTCGGTGCTACTATATCAGTGGATGAAGAAGTATTCAGGTTTTTCACTTAAGTAAAAGTAGCAATACCAAATTGTAATAATACTCCGTTACAAGTTAAAGTACTGCAAATGTTACTTAAATAAAAGAGAAAAAAGGTATCGGCATCAAAATATACTTCAAGTACCAAAAGCAAAAGTACTTTTTATGCGTCATGGCCCATTTCAGAATCATATATATGAATTTAATGGATTATGATTATTGATGTGTTGGTGTTTTAATGACAGCTGGTAAAGGTGAGGCTAATTTAAATTATTTTATATAGTGCTGGACATTTTGACCTAGAATTACATGTCAGAGTTTATTTAAAAATGGATTTGTATTTTATATTAACTAATAATCTAAAGAATAACTTTCTAAAGATGTAAAAATATAGTGGACATTAGTGGAATAAAAAGTAATATATTGGCTTCTAAAATTGAATGAAGTAGATATAGAGTAGCATAGACTGAAAATACTCAGGGAAAGTACCTCAAAGATGTACTTAAGTACAGTACTTGAGCAACTGTACTTTGTTACCATCCACCACAGTACTATACACAATTCATAGGCACCTCTGCGGCTTAGGTTTGGGTCAGGCTGGGGACTTGTGCCGTCTTTGTACCAGTGCTAAACAATATAAATAAGAAGAATAATAGATTAGTACACAATGTAGCTGCAGGTGTTGCTACGTTGCTAAAATAAGCCTTTGTGCACAGACAAGACGGCACAGTAATATGAAAGATGAGAAACCAAGGACTATGGTGGCCAACCCCTGCCTCCACAGAGAAATAATATAAATAACACTTTGTCTACAAGATGTAGGTGAGGACAAATGCTAGCTATCAGCACCTATTTGTCTTACATCTGTGTACTTTTCTCTTTCAACTTAAGCTAGCAAAATAACGTCTTGAGGAAAATAATAGCACAAGACTGCTCAGATCAGCAAGAGAGCGATGAAGAGATAAAGGGGCCACAGTGAAGCCACTGTAAGCGTAGAGATTAATACTAGCCTCTCGCCTTTTTCTTTTAGTCGTAAGAAAATAAGATCTGGGCATACTGAGGGCCTAGGTCAGGAAGAAGGAGGGGGCTTCACAGGAGCAGGGAGAACTCTGGGAGATGTTGGTGACCAAACGTCTATTAAAATGAATCCCTGAGCCTGTGTGGAAAAGGCCAGGAGACTCCTTTACAAATAACGCATGCAGTAAGGAGATGAAACAATTGTCCCTTAAGACTTTTGGTGCAATTGTGTACATTTGTCTATGTCTTTACTTCACTGATGACGAACAAAAACGTTTTTTTCAGTTGATTATGACCTGAAACCTGCAGGAAATAGCGGCATGTGTGGCAAATAATGAACACTCTTTTTATTTAGATTGAACTGGTAGGTTTAAATCACTCACTCACATCTCCATGCGTTCTTTTCACAGTGATTTAAAGCTTTAAATGATATTCCTAGTGTGGTGATTTCCTAGTTATCGCAATTTGAGATTGAGGTGCATGACATGTGAAATATGAAATTGTCTCTGTTCGTGTTCTTGTCTTGTCTGTCTGTTCGTGTCTGTCGTCACATACAACTTTTATTATTTCTCAAAGTTGGCATTCCCGGAGCCTGTGAGAGGAGGGGGAGTCATTGGTTTGCCGTGGGTGGAATGTAATATCACTGCCACATGCAGGATCTTTTTTTAGAACATGTTTTTTGGTGACAGACTGACTAATAACTTTTGGCTTAAACTGGCAGGGCTGTCCTCGACTAATAAGGTCTCAATCAACTAACAGTGAGGAGATTTGACGACTTATCGATGGTTGATTTGATGGTCCGAATCTCCCGATCATAATTATTTTGGCAATAAGTCATTCAGCGTGAAAAAGCATTAAAAAAGACAAAATAATTCCTAACCAACTCATTTCGAAAAAGATTACTTGACGAATGGACTAAGAGGGGACAGGCCTATTGGCAGTGTGTTTTAAAACATGGGACATTGAAGTAACCTCCACATATGGAATTAAAATAATCATTACCATGTTGAGTTTAAGCATCCTGAGCCCTATTTTGTCCATAGGTCAGTGTATCACTAATAAAACTGAACCAAAACCACACATTTTAAGTGTGTTACCCATGTTGAATCAAACATCCAATCAAATGTCTCTCAATGAAAGGTGCTGGGACAAAGCTTTCTAGAAGTGAACAGTCCACGGATCAGAGGATGAAGCCGTGACTCCACCGGCTGCTGCTCACCATCGATGAGGAGAACAATTATAAAACCAGGGCCATCACCGTAATCGCCCAACGCAACGCATCACAAACACACTGTGTTTCCCCCGAGGGGCCACCTTGACTTCTAATCTCAGACATCAGAGCTTACACCATCACCAAAATGAACTGTAGTAGTCCTGAAACACATGTAGGGATATGGAGTTTTAGGATATTTATAGATGAGTGGCGCCTCTGTATGTGTAATGAATACAGACACACAACCACAAGTGTCTATTTGGATAATGCTTTGTACGTTTGAGTCATCACACACATATGATTAAGTCATTCTCTTAAGGAAAAGGGATTGCGGACCCCCTTCCTCCATTGTCTGTCAATAGGCCTACCACAGTTTCTCTCACAGCTCTGTGTCTGACCAGAGAGTGTGAGCACTCACACACTAACACACACACACAGGCATGATTAGTGATTCCTCATTCATACTGTCTGTTTGAAGGGACGCATCTAGTGCCAGAAAAGCGAGCAACACAAAAAAAAAAAAGAAAAGAGAGTGATGGTGCGTTTGCCTTATATGGCAGGCGGCATTGCGCTGTCCACGGTGCTGAAACTGACTGTATAGGTGGTGGGGAGGTGGAGGAATGGAAGTGAGGGGGGGGGGGGGGTGTGGGGGGTTGCATGCAGCTAACTACATTAATCAAACACGCTCGTGCATGTCGCCACACATACACATACATGGGCTTATAGAGCATGGCAGTGAGTGAATGACATGTCTTCCACACTCATTGATGGAAGCTGGTGCTGGTGGGGCTGATGGAGGCAGCAGCCTATAGGCTTTGCTTGCGGGGGGGGTGCGAAATGACAGAATGCTGAGCCTCCACTCCCTGCTTCTTGGGGACAACCATTTCCCTGCAAACGCATTCATACTTTAGTGACTTCAAAAAAACACACGTCAACCTGCAGGTCTGGATGAGGAGGACACACACGCACACGCACACACACGCACACACACACACACACACACACACACACACACACACACACACACACACACACACACACACTGTGGCCCTCCGCTGCTCACAAACACCTCCATCAACATCATCCTCATTCTGATGCATTAAAGAGATCCAATTGTTACCTTTCATCCAGTCCAGCACTTGCTTTGGTGTCCATTTACTTATAGGTTCCATAACCAAAGCCATGGTGTCACAGTCTCTCCGAGGTGAACGGCACAGGACTCAATGCGGGCGACATAAAACGACTTGTCAGTCACATCTGGAATGACACGGCGGTGGGTGAATCTGAGGAAAAATAGAGCTTTGTCAGTTTTAGTCTCTCCATCAGAGCATGGCCGCCTGCAGAAACGGTGAACGGGATGCGGTGGTGCAATCCACGCGCACACACGGAGGAGACACGCACACTCCTTTCTGCTCCCTCCCTCCTTCCTTCCTTCCTTCTCTCTAACTCTCTCGCTCTGTGTGTCTCTCGCTCTCTTGCTCGTGCCTTCCCGCGCTGTGAGAAGTGGATTCGGTGGGAGAGAGGGGATGGAGCGACCCCTCCCCTCCCCTCTCCTCTCTTTTTTTTTCCTCCCTCCCGCCTCGCTGCAGCATCACAAGGGCCACCACTCATAACACAGACCAGGGAATGGTGCAACGCACACCATATAGGGATCTCTCTCTTTATGCCCCCCCACCCCCTGCCTTACACATGCACATACATACAGAGTGTGCAATATAACTGAAGTAAAATCAATTATAACCGGCAGGGTCTTTAAGATGTCACCTGGAATTGTAATCACGTGCTTCATTATTTGTATTTTTACAGTGTTAATTCATTAGTCTTTGTCAACACTCATAGTTTGTGGTTGTCTGCGTGCCTTTTGGCAGCGCGTGCCACACCACAGTGTAAGGTAATGCTCATCAGCTGTTTTTTTAAGTTCACCATCTGTAGATGAGGAGATCAGCATCAGTTGTCAGGCGCTGCTGCTGATCAGAGCTCAGCTGTGAGGAACAGCGCCCCCTGCTGCGCACCTGGGACACAGGTGACGTCATGGATTAGAGCAGAATCCCCTCCACACACCCACCCACCCACCCACCCCCCCCCCAACACACACACACACACACACACACACACACACACACACACACACACACACACACACACACACACACACACACACACACACACACACACACACACACACACACACACACACACACACACACACACACACACACACACACACACACACACACCTACTAAGGTTGACTTTATACATAAGGAGATGGAGCAAGAAGCAGGTAGTTTGTATGAACTAATGATAGATAGATGGATAGATAGAAAGATACCTCAAAACAAAGAGAAAATCATAAAAAAACAAGCGAGAACATTTTCATAATGTTTTTCCATACAACTATTATTTACAAATGACATTGTATCATCTGCCAAGGAATCTATTAATCTGACAATAATGTTTTCAGTTATTCAATCTTCGTTTAGTCTACTAAACACCAAAATATAAATAAGAATGCCCATCACAACTTCACACAGTCAAATGTAATGTTTTTTTTAACTAATGTCCGAATACCCACAATATTCAGTTTAAAATAGCATATGAAGGCAAGAAATCCTCTAATTTCATTCATTTTTCAGAATACTGAAATAAAAGAATGTTGTATTCATTTTGTGTGGATTGATTCATGTCCTGAGGACATGAACAAGTGGTGTTCGTTTACTTGCCTGTGGATTTAATTGTGCAAATCTTGGAATAATTCTTCAGAAATAAATGTGTGATCCAAAAAGCATGCAAAGCCTACATATAGAGGAACAGGTCACAAAACACAGTGGTTATAGAACAACTTACTTTATTTCTTTCAAACAGAACTCACAAACAAAAACAATTGGTTTAAAAATTCAGAAGTACATGTAGCTCTAGCAAAAACCTGTAAACAGATATATCGGGATGTTCTACAAATCAACAATAATGTCTTGCAAGTCCTTTGAATGATAATGTATGGTTGTTCGCAGTTTGTGTTTATGTTGTTGGCAAGGTGCTTCCTGAGGGACCAAACGTCTGTTTCTAACCGACTCTAAGGACCGATTTACTGCCCCATTCTTTAAACGTGCTGTCTTTTTGTCTGTCTCTCGTCCTGATATAGTAAGCATCCTGCATCAAAAATGGCAAAATGATATTAGACTGTAATACGAAAGTACATAAGTCAGTCTTATTGCAGAAGGTACAACTAATTTACTTCAGGATAAAAAGATCTTTAGGTATAAAGTGTTGATTGAGGTATTTCAAAGTACTGTAATACTGATGATTACTTAAATTAAAATGTATTATATTTAAATGAAATGTGTTTCACTTGCATGACTATTTGTACAAGACTTACAATGTCAGTATAGTATACTTGAATGTAATGTAAATGTGATTTGATTTAATCATTTCAAAATGCTGATTTAAACGTTTATCATTACCATTTTGGAAAAACATCAATCATTTGCAACCTTTTGCTGTCAATACGAAGTCAAGATATTGATGAAAAGTTTAAGATAGCAATCTAAAAATAGCATTTGCTGACAGTGACAGTGATTGTTGTATCCTGCATTGTCCTTTTAAACATTGGCAACATTTGCAGCACCTACTGTACATCCCTGCACATTTTCAGTTATTAAAAGGTGATGAGGACACAGACCATTTCACATCCAACATTTGGGCTGCTTCCATGTCTGTGACCTCCTCCTCCAGCAGCCTTTGAACAAAGTCAATGGTGGGCGGGACTTCGCTCAATTTTCAGCCCTTTCCAAATGTCAGAGCGATGATCTCGAGTTCCCATTGGCTCCTGTCTGCAAACACGTCACAATCATGATTAGAATTGATGATCGGACGTTCTGATTTCATTGTCTAGCAAACGGGACTGGTGAAGAAATCTGCTGAATTTGAACGTCCGTCTGATTTTGACATCAGAAATGGTAAGTAGGAAAGTGGTTTTACTTTTTCACTTCGGGAATACCCCGGCTGTTCTTGTTCGTGCCTGCTCGAGTGCAAGGTTTGCGAGAATGCTCATGCCAGGGTCGGGAAATCAGAGATTTGAAGGAAAAGTTTAGCTGCAGCTATCCATAGGGAAAGCTATGCTAAGGCTAGCTAACGTTAGCTGACTCAGATATGGCCGCCCGGGCCTGCAAGCTAAGCTGTTTGTACGGCCATTGTGGAGATGAATGCGGCGCTTACCCAGTTTGTTTACTGTCTGGCTCGCAGTCGTAAAGTTACAGCATGTGCTTCCTGTGTGGGAATAGTGTTTCTGAGTCCCCATGCTGCTGTCTGGCTGGCATACTTATCTGACGTGAACACAATTTGTTCGCTAATTCTCTCAGTAATGTCTCCATATTGACTGTAGCCATGCGCAGTCAGCCTGCCAAAATAAACCTGCTGCTGGATGCCTATTGGTCGCACAACAATCCCGTATGTGACATTTCTGTCTTTATCAAAGCCTAGTAGGCTACTGCTGTTTTTCAAACTTATTCACCGAGTTTCCAGCTTTGTGATAGTACAAGAGCTTTTATTTTAACCGGGCTGGTTGCTCTTTTTCCTCCCTCGTTTACTTTGTGTATAAACACAACACACATGTGTAACTCGTTTTCATAACAATGGACCCCGTTTATAAGCATAGCTGTTGTCTTTACATATGAAGCTACAAGCTAGCTCAAGCTTACTTTGACTGTCACCGGCTCGTCATTGTTTATACACACATTTATTACTATTAAGAATGTTACAACTAAATAATACTCACTTCTGCTTTGCTTGTTAAGTGTATCCTTTTCTATAAACAAGAACAATTTGCACAACAGCTACTTTGCACAATTCTAATTTCCCTATGTCTATATGTTTCTGTAGTATATATTTCTATATATTGCTGTTGTTTAGTGAAATTGTTTATTGTCTATTCTTTATATTTTGTATTATTTAGATACTGTTGTGATAAGTATCTGTTCTACTGTGAAGAGGAAAACTGTTGCTGTTAATGTTAATAATTAACTAATGTGTAATGCTTGACTTGACTACACTCCTGCTGTGACAAAATAATTTCCCTATATGGGATGAGTAAAGTATCTATCTAGCTGTCTTATATTCGTTAAGTGGCTTCACGAATTAGCTTGAAGCTCATAATCCATTGTTGTGTTGTTTTGCCACAGAGTAAGATATAACTCATTGTACCCTTTTACCCTTTAAACCAAGCATTTAATACATAGTTGTATCTCTGTGGTTAATGCAAGGGAACACATTTCAGTGGCTTTCAATGATGCCTAGAACAATGTTAGGCACAACAACACATGATTGATAGTGTTATTGATGCTAAACAGTGGCTTGTCTCAGTTTATTATACTTTGACTGACAGCCTGTTGTATGTTTTACAGCCTCATAATGCTTCATGCTTCTTTTTCAAAATGCTGTAATGTATATTATGACACAGTTTTGACTGTTTGTCTACAGTTTGATGAAACTGATAAAGATTCCTTATAGTCTATTACTTGTAGTACAGAAGCATGCTCATAGTGACATGGATAGAGTTATTAATTTGTCTTTTTATTTACACTTTTGGCGTTGTCTGTTTTTCTCTCTCCGCAGCCACATTACCCAGCAGTGTGCCAGGTACACTGAGGCACGATGAGTACAAACAAAGTTGTGCTTATCTAGAAACATGGAGGTTTTGCTGTGATCTGAATGGCTGCCCCGTTCCCCTCCAGTAGCAGAATGGATGCGTGGTCACAGAGACGTGGCCTGCAGAATGTGAGTATATATCAAGGGTTGTATTCCAAAAAGAGCTAGTATTATTTAAAATAATAACAACAATACCAACAATAACAACAGCTTGAAATCTGACATATTGAAAAGAAATAAAGCATGCTGCTGCAGTTGTAATCGGAATACATTGAAATTTTTAGGGAATATACTTATTTAAAAATGTAATAACTTAATGAAAGATGTTATGATCTTTAAATATTCGGCTACAAAAAACTCTCGTCTTGTGAGCCAGACACCAGTTAAAGGAAATTGCACAAGTGTCATGAGGTTAAACCACAATCTATCAGTGAGCGCATGTGAATTATTGTGTAACACAACGTTTTCTTTATCTTTTTGATTTTGTCTCAGATGAACCTGCGCTCAGTTTTTACGAATGAGCAGCAGAGGATCCTGGAACGT